GGGCTAAATTATTTTTGTTACAAAAAACTGATAAGTTGCAGCCTTCGTCTTAGCTCTTTTGAAGTGAGGTTTGGAATCATTGCCTTCCTTCCCACCGCCCATGCTTCAAGATTGAAGTTCGAACCTATTAAAAAAAGGAACGTTGAGCAACGGAACTCGTACGAATACAGGTTCTTTCCTGCAGGACGGAAAAGGCAGGTTGCCTATTTATTCTTTCGTCCGGACTTGAAATCTCTACTATGCGCCCGTCTATTAAATTTGGACTTAGTCATTGTCATTCTCATTTCCATCAACGACTATTTCAAAATGCATTATTCACCTTTTAACGGGGCTCAAACACACCCTAAGTATAGTTCATCATGTTACGTCTTCTCCTATTTAACCAATCAAGTTCCTTGACAATTGCATTTCTTGAAAAATAGATCGTGTCGATGATCTCAACCTTCTAAATGTCACTTTTTATTGTAGATTTTTAACAAATATTGGTACTTCAAAAGTAGGATTACAAAATTTTAACGTATCAAGATTTTAACAATACAAAACAAAACCCAATAAAAAAAAGTGCAATCTAGACTAAAATTTTGGTCATGCCACCAAAAAATGAAAATCCAAACCTCATAAGCCGGACACAGAAGACAACAGTAAAAACATAGGACTACCATTGTCGAGTCTCAATCTACCTGAAAAAGGTAACAACCTAAGACGTGGGGGCCCAGTTTTGCACCAAAAGAATAGAAGTATTTTCAGGGATTAGATATAGATACCAAGACAACAACTAAAAGACAAAAGAAACAGTGTCAAATTGGCTTCGAAATTCTCCATTCTTACAGACCAGCAGTGCCCTTAAGTAACAGTATTTGGAATTACGAAGAGTTTATAATTAATATATATACTACATGTTCGGACTAGAGATGTTGTGGTTTAATATTAAGAGGCTTCTGTCTTGTCTGTTTCCCTTGTGACTTTTTTCTAGTGACGAGAATTGTTATTACCTTATCGAGTACTTTGTACTAGTGTGTGACGTTATAGTGTTGATGGAATATGATAGCCATTCATATTGAGAAAGTGCGAGTAAAGTTTTACATTTTTAAAATACGATAAATGATTGGTATGTAAGTATCTTTGGAGATAACCTTAATACCCTACAAATAGTATCAAAAACATGCTCCATATGTTTATAAGATGAATCTTCATTGTGATGGAACAACGGCGGTGAATTCTAAGTTGGATAGTGATGGCCAAAAAAATCCATTATTGGCTCTTAAGACGGTAGACCCTGATGCACCGGAAGAGTTGGTCCTTGATAGATAAACTTTGTTCGGGTTTCACGAAGACTCGAAGAGATATGGGTATTTCGTCGCTTAAAGATGAGCCAAGATGATATGAAACTTCATTCGAAGGAGGATCATTGGAAAAATGTGAATAGTCAAATAGTTAGTAAAGTTTATTAGTACATAAAATTATGTTAACAGTTCGCATGGAGAAATTAAGTAACGAGAAAGCAGAGGAATTTGGATTGAGCCTGTTGGATTTTAATATTGGATTTGTGTCTTGTCTGTTTCCATTCTGACCTTTTCCTGTGTTTGACATCTATACACACAAAAATAATTTTAATTGTTTAATTTCAGTCCATGTAAGAATTTTATTTAAAAATAGATAAACTGATTTAAAAAAAAAAAAAAGATAATGGCCCGTGTCTTTTTATTAACTGAAATTTCAACATGGATGTTTATTAGTTATATTTTGGAAGTTATATGTATTTGTCGTCATGTTGAGTGAATTGACGAATGTCTGACAAATTTTTCTTTACTTTTAAAATTATTTCTTATCAAATAGATTTTTTTTTTTCAATGGAATGAAATAGATAAACTAATTGCAATTTACTTATTTGTCGAAATAGTATATTAACTTTAATACAAGCGTGTAATTAGAATATTGAAAAAATTGTACCTACCACATTCATTTTCACAAAATATTAAGGATGTGTTCGACACCCATTTTGGAAAAAAAAAAAATCTGGAATAGTGATTGATGGAAGAATGTGTGGTTAAAAAGTAATAAGAATTTTTGAGTTTATGTGTAATATTATTTTATTGAGAGAATGTGATTGAAATGAAGAAAAAGAAAAAAAATGAGAAAAAGAATAATAAGAAAATGAGTGTCAAACAGGGGCTAATATAGCTCTATAGATAGATCTGCACGAGTCTTGATCGGGATAGCTAAGTGTCTGGTATGATACCCTTATCAAGATAAATCGTGTTGAGCCGTACAAAAATCTATCCAACTTAATCCTCGTCGGTCTACCTTAGTTAAAACTTGTAAGCTTATTTAAGAAAAAAAGAAGGGGTCAAATGGATGGGATATATGTTCAAATTGAACCCTCCACGTACCTTATTCTCTATTGGTTAAGGATTTGATAACTTGAATTACAATTTAGGGTTCCTTGAATGAAGTTCTCTTGTGTATTTTTGGCCACACAATGACACTCCGCGTAGATTTTGACGTAATGTTTTCGTAGAGAGAGAAATGCATCCATGAAAATATGGGATTCGTTAGCCCTTATTCCAACCATGGAAGTTATGTAAAAAATTTGAAGAATGCTATTCATCCCCAGTGGGGATGCATCCCCAGTCTTTGTGCAATTTTCCTCTTATAAACTTTTTTCTATCATAATAAACTACTAAATCGACGAAATATGATATAATCTCATATTGAATGGAGCCTATATAAATCTTGCGTGTTCTTAAGTGTCTATTTTTTTCTACGATTTTATCGCTTTTGATGATATAAATTTAACATTTATAATTCTTAACATAATAGCCTACTGTAATAGATACTTACTCAATTCAAGAAAGTTAGGCTCTTTTATTTTTTTTTACTTGGCCTTCAGCTCTTTCACTCCCGTGATAATTTTGGAACTTGGATAATCTTCCACTCCCGTGATAATTTTCCCTGTGGCATTACTAGACAAGCCATATTGCTCCAATACCAACAAAATCTTTAATTTGTTTCTTCTATGGAGAAATAACACTTTACTAATAATCCACTCTTAACAACCACATGTTAATGATCACATGATATTTGCACTACAACTAGATAATATTCATGTTGGTTACTTGGAATTTTGCTCCTTTTTACTTGCAATTAATTTCATGTTTGGTGTAGACTAAAAAAATTATAAAATTCTCGAACCAAAATGACCAATTAATTTTAACCACAAATTTCATGGATTCACAAATTTTCAATCACACATTTTCAAATAAAGAATATCTTCAAATTCAACCCCTATGGTGCGGCTCACATAAGTATTAGAGCATGATATAAAAAGATTTTACCAATTTTCTCGGCTACATTTATGCCTAGCCCTATCTAGGGGGTGTCAAAATAATCGTTTTGCTACACTTACATTATGGATGACGGCTTTGTTTAGTCCATGATATGATTCACAATTTTGTCATTAATTTTAATAACACTTAAAAAAATCAATGAACTCGTTCTTTACACATCGTAGATTGTCATCCATGATGTACAAAATCAATGTTCAAGTAGCTTAATTCGTCAAGACAGTGTGTTGGCCTAAGCCCTCTTTGTAGGGATGGCAACGGGGAGGGGTGGGGCCCTTGCCCAGTTTACTACCCCATTTAATTTTTTTTAAAAGTTTTTTATAATTTATTTTATTGTCAGCATTCATTATATTGAGACTAATAATTTTAATTGTCATTTTCTATTAGAACTAATGAAATTTCGTGAAATTTTTCATTTAAAGTATTGAATTCTAAAAAAAAATAAAAATAAACGGACGGAGCGGGACACCTTTTACCCGTCCCCACCTCGGGGCAAAATTCTTTGCCCCGTCCACGAATACCCTATTAAGTGGATAATCCCCGCCTATTTCGGGACGGGGTCCTGCTGGTATCGAGTTTGTCGAATTTTTTTGTCATCCTTACCTATTTGTCTAAAGAGCAGACCATGGCCCACTCTATGTGGCCCCCACGCTAAAATCCTTTACAGGAACATCCTTCACTAGCCGTCCCGAGGCGAAACTAAGTCAACTCCATTCATTTTGATAACTCTAACTGCATCATATGTATATGTATTATTCTCGATTATTCTCAAGAAGTTATTACGAAACAAAAATGTAAAAGAAAAACTCAAAATATAGGATAAGCGTGTTGATTACAATTAGGCTATCTCTGCTCAACATTCATGGCTGGACAATATCATAATTACTCGTTTGTATGGTGCAAACTTTGATGTATACACGATAGTGTAACCATATAAACAAAAATCATGCAAATTATGCATATAAAGGTGACGAAAGATAAGGTTGTCTACCAGATAGACCTAATAATCTCTTTCACAGAACCCACCTTATTATCCTCAAACCAACCTAAAATCTTGCACAAGTTTCTTTCTACACACACGCAACATCTATATATAAATACGCATACAAGACACAGAAACCTTAAACTGTCTTCTGGTGACTTGAAAAGGTTTGATGATATAAAAGACAACCTAAGAAGTTGAACTCATTGTTTCGTTTCTTTGTGAGGCTTTGGTCAGTTTTATACATTCAAGTATTTTTATAAGATAGAGTGATTGGTGAAGAATTCAAGATGTGGGCCAGATTCAAAACCTCAAAGATCCAAAATGGTTTGATTTCGAAAACATCTTTCATTTTATTATTGGATATGAAATTGTATCTGTATTGACTAAGGAGGTAGAAAATTTAAATTTGGAAAGTGCTTCGACATAAATGAAAATAATTATGTAATTAGAAATTAAGTAGCTTATAAATTAGCTGTTTTTGATTTTTTTTTCTCCCCAAAATTACTGCTGGTTTTTGCTCATTTTAGATTTTTTAAAGTATTTTAGTGTGTTTGGGAAAGATCGATGTGGTATGAAATTTGACCTTAATGATTTGTTCTTCTTCTGCAAAATAAGAGTAATAGGCTAAACCCTTAAGCCCTTGTATGATTTTTTTTTTCCCCAATTTCTCAATGATTTTAATTTGGACCTTATTTTTGTTTTGTACCATACTAAATTCAACCTATATTTTTATTTCAGACAAGAAACAAGTATTGAAAGAATCTCAGAAAAGTCTCAATGTCAATGAAGAGTATCTTGGTGCATTTAGAACAAAATCCTATGGGGATTTCTGCATAAAAGCTCAATTACTAGTAAATGAATCCTCATCACCAGCTAATTACTGCCATAAAGGGTTCTTAGAAATTCTTGACCCTGGCCAAGAAACTATAGCACAAGTTCTTGAATCAGCAGTACTTTCAAGAAAGTCGAATCTCAAATCCCTTCTCTTTAATTACTTCGATATGAGTGCCGAGGCATCGAAATTCTGCAGCCAACTTCTCAAAAGCATAAATCAAGTTCAAGCTGACTACAAATTTATTTATCAAGCTCTTGACACCATTGATGATTATTCTTCGGAGAAATTTCACTTAATCGTGTTTGAGCTCCATTCATGCATCCTTAATCTCAAAAAACAAGATTTTAAGTGCATCAATGAAAAGTACACATCAATTCTTCAACGCCTTAAGTCAAAGCGAAAAATGGTGACGAGGAAGATTAAATTGATAAAATGGTTCAACAAGGCATCCGGAGTATGTATGACATTAGCTTGCAGCGTGATTTCTATAGCTGCCATGGTACTAGCGGCACATACTCTAACCGCGTTACTTATGGGACCCGTGATTTTGAGCTTACCCGTGAAGCCATTAAAGAGAAAACTTCTTAATATCCAATTTTTGAAGGATGGATTTCTAAGGAAAATTGGAGAACAACTTGATGTGGCTACCAAGGGTACTTATATTTTGAACATGGAATTTGACACTATGAGTCGACTCATGGCTCGGATTCAAGACGAGATTGAACATAACAAGGCAATGATACAATTCTGTTTGGACAGGAAGGAAGATAAATTTTCCTTCCAAGCATTATTGGACCTTAAAAAGGGGGAATTTGGGTTCAAGAAACAAGTGCAGGAGCTTGAAGAACATGTGTATTTATGTCTTGTCACAATTAATCGAGCTAGAGCTTTGGTGATTAGGGAAATTACAAAATCTTGGCTAAAAAATTCAACGCAGTAGGCATTTTTATGCACTGTACAGTTATTCTTTCATTGTAAATATGATTTCTCATGTAAACTCACTAAGGAAAAGTTTGTTTGAGCTTGTTTGATCCTTATTTTTGGTGTACAATGCATTTTGGAATAGTTCATTGATAGAGAATGAGTGGTTAAAAAATAAAGAAAGATTTTGAATTTAAATATAATATTATTTTATTAAAAAATGTGCACTTGAAAAGATAAGTGTAAAACTTGTATTAATAAAAAATTGGGAATCAAACAAATCGAGCAAGAGCTTTGGTGATTAAGGAAATTACAAAGTGATTCAATTCTGAGGATTTTGTTTAGTCCTATAAAGCTTGGAACTCTTATATTTTGTAATGGCTCATTGTCATATGATTGATTCCATAAATTTACCAAACAAATAGTTTTCTGTTTTGAATATTCTTTGATTGATATATGAATCTCATTAGCCTCTACCAACCTGTCAAAATCAAATCTCAAGCCAACCAGGATCTTGCATGTGCCAACTAGATAACATTTATTTAGAATAAGGTTAAAGCCACCTATGATCACCCATTTTTATGCGAAAAAAGCTGTGCGTACAGGAAAAAATAACAGGAATTTACACAGGAATTCAAATTTCACTCACATGGAGCCCATTTTTATGCGAAAAAAACTGTGTGTACAGGAAAAAAATAACAAAACAATTTGATTTTATTTCACCATGATCACCTAATTTTATATAACGTTTCACTATAGTCACCGAATTTCATATAACATTTTATCATGACCACCCAATTTTTTTCCACTATTTTCACTAATTTAAGAAGGGTAAAATGGAAATTATGTATTATATATAAAATAAATTTAAAAAAATAAAAGTTTTTTTTTAATTTTAAAAATATTTATTTTAAAATAAGTTTTTATTTTATTTTATTTTTTTAAGGAACATTTTTTTAAAATAACTTTTTATTTTAAAAACATTTCTAAGTAGTTTTTTAAAACTAAGTTTTTATTTTATTTTAAAAAAGTTTTTTTAAAAAAGTTTTTATTTATTTTATTTTTTAAAGTAATATTTTTTTAAAAAAAATAAGTTTTTATTTTATTTTATTTTTTGAAGTAAACTTCTTTTCAAAGAAGTTTTTATTTTAATTTTTTTAAAATTTATTTTTTATATAATGTAAAATTATTGTTTTACCCTTTTTAAAATTAATGAAAATGATGAAAAGTAGTTTGATGGTCATGGTGAAATGTTATATGAAATTTGATGGTCATGATGAAAGGTTATATGAAATTGGGTGACCATGAAGATACCAAGTATAAATTTGGGTGGTTATGTTGAAACAAAATCAAATTGGGTGACAATGGTGACACCAAGTATAAAATTGGGTGGCTATTGATAAATTTAACCCATTTAAAATATAAATACACAAATTGCAATTGGGTTCTTTTCTATTATCGTTTTAATTCAATGTTCATAGTCAACATGCTTAATTTGCAAGTCATTTATTTTTTGGGTTAAATTCACATGTGGCAACCCAACTTTATACTTTGTGTCACCATGACCACTCAATTTGATTTTGTTTCACCATGGCCACTGAACTTAATATTTAGTATCACCATGACCACCCAATTTGTTTTTATTTCATCAAGGCCATCCAATTTCATATAATGTTTCACTATGATTACCTAATTTCATATAATATTTCACAATTGTCACTTAACTTCTTTTTACCATTTTCATTAATTTTAAAAGGGGTAAAACGGTAACTTTGCACATATATATATATATACATATATACATATATATATATAT